GCTTATAATACTTAAATATGTGTAAATAAATTTCTACTTATATATATATATATATATTTTTTTTATGGATATAATGATCCTATAAATATAAATCTTTACAAAATAAATCTCTTTAATCTACTGTATATTAATTTGCAATATATTTTGCACTCATTAATTTTCATAATTATATCTACATTACATTTAATAAACGTTTCATTAAAATTTTTTAATTTTTGTTGCAAATTTGCAAGAAATAAAAAAATTGTAAGAAATAAAAATCTATTTTATAAAATTTAATAAGAAAATAAGAAAATTGAAAGAAATAAATTAATGTCAAATTGGAACTTTTTATTTCAATTTTCATATACATTGCATCCAATATAAAATTGAAATTTTTATTTTAATTTTATTGGATGCTGTGTGCACAAATACACAATCATACATGTATATGTGCATTGAAGAACATGCATATATAAAAAGCATTTCGTAATAGAACATTGACCCTACTCAATCATTTAACAAGAGATATAGTTTAATGAAAATGCTAATGAGCGAAATACTAATATCTAATGTGAATAAAGGAGAAATACAAGCAATTTGAAGTTTAGAATAACGTTTTACTTATTGATGAATTATTCCTCTATATAATTATTGAGTTTACATAAAACATTACGTATTTTATATTTATCGCGTGCAATTGTGAGAAATTGTCATTAGATTATACTTAAACTATAGAAAATAGAGATACTCACATTTCTCTGATCGCATTCAACGTTCGGTAATATATTCGATATTCGTTTCTTAAAAGAATAACCCTCGTCGTCGACGATTACTAATCACAGACAGTCGTTCATCGCACATCCTTTATCAATAAACATAGTTCTCATTCACTCGTCCAGCTGTTCTCTCCTTTCTCGACAGTATCTGCACGCATTTTTAATATCTCCGTTTGTAATATGCACATGGATGATATATTAAGCTTACAATCGCCACATCGTCAGAACTAAAGTTTCACCCCGATAGCTTGGTAAGCCGGCACCGTTCATGGTCACCCCCGAAGGGTTGCGTCGCGGCGTTCCGTGCGCGATTTGTCTTTCGTTGCATCAACGATATACCTGCATCCAACACACATTGCCGTAGCCGCCGACGACAATCCGCAGGTCGTGCAAGGTGGGCCGGGGTTTTCCTCGGCAAAAGGCTGACGATGCAAACAGCCGCACGGTAAGAATGGCACTGAACAGAAGCGCTTTGAGGATTGAGAACGTGGCTAAATTTCCGGAGGGAGGCGCGTCGGTCAGGATCAGCTACAGGTTGCGCCCGTCTCGTTCACGCAGGCCAGGCATCTTGGTTGATCGTCGAGCAGCAAGGGTAGTAGTAGTGGCGGTGTATGCATCCAAACGGGGGGAAAAAAGTTGGCGAGAAAGAGGGAGAGAAACGAGAGAAATCGATTTATTTAACATCTAGAACTTTTTGCCTCTTTCACAATTGTGAGGATTTGGCTCACTGGCGATTGTGTGATATTTTATTAATCACTGTCAAGACCGAATTCGCAAGTTGATTTTAACTGACGTGCAATATAAATGAGTGATATCAATGTGGCTTTTGCACATGATTGCATTTTAATTAAAAATTTAAATTAATTTAGGACTAGCTTTCATAAAAATATTGATAGCAATGTTAGGAATTTATAATTAAATTGTTCGAGTATATTATTACTAGAATTAAATTGTATATTAAAAAGACAAATAAAGAACTACAAACCAAGCACTACTTTATCATATTTTATTAATTAATTTTTAAATTAATTGATATTTTTATTTATTAGTTAAATTTATTAAACATTTTCAGCAATCCCTAAGGATTTTTCAGAGTAAATTATTGCGTAAAATGTTTCAATATGCATAATTTTCATGCAGCTTTTGGCTGTCATTCTAATCTAGGTTTTTACCTAGATTCACAAAATTCTTTTAGTAGAATAATTTTTATGATATTTCTACAGTCGCACATTATTTATTAATTATCTTAAGTATTAAGTACCTTTCAAGTAGAAGTGCTCTTTGTAATGAAACACAGATACTTAGTATCTTCCTTTTTATCTGTTTTCTTTGAGTTAGTAACTTTACTGTGTACATAGTACACAGCTGGTAACGTCGTATACATTTTAAGGCTCCCACAAGATGGAGGATGCTGATATAAAAATATTTATCTCTTGCTGATATATGAAATTTTTACTGAGATTTTTTCTAAGAGATGATACAATTTTTCTTTTATACAAAAAAGGGGTAACGTTGATTACATAATATACTATTATTAGACGCCCTATAAAGTAAACAACATTTTGCGCAATCTCTGTAAAGTGGAATATGATTTGTGAACAATTTAAAAATTATAACTTAATTTTCTTTCTTTCTTTATCTTTCTTAGATTTTTTATTTTTTATTGGTATAATTACATA